TTTATTTTTATAAATTTTTATAAATCTTTAGATTCGAGAATTGGATTTAGGGCTTCTAATAGTATTACTTCGATACCTGTTCAATACTACTTTGATATTTAAATTTATTATAAATTTATATAAATGAATTACAACCCATATATTAAATTACTATAGATTAATACTATTTTGATATCACTTCAGTATCAGTTTGATACTTTTCGAAGTTTTAATTAGGTTTTTGTACTAATAGGAAAATTATCTAAATTACTTGTTATGAGTTTGTTTCAACAAGTTGTAGAATTTAACAGGACTATAATTATTATACTTTTTTAACTAGAGATGATAATTCAATGTTTTGGCAAGGATAATTAGTCTGTTTTATAAAAATATGCTATTTTAAATAATCTAAAACCTAAGAATAGAAATATTAGACTTTTACTTTATCCATTTACTTGATTATCGCTAACATTTTTTATCTGCAATATTAGTATCAAACCTAATACGGAACCAGAGAATTATATATATATATAAAGTCTATTATCTTGAAAGAGAATGGACAAGTATTTCTATCAATTTCAAAGATTATATATCATCTAAAAAAAACAAGACTTGATTAGATGCTTCTACTTAAAATTTATTTGTCAAAACCTTAACCTGAGAAGCAAAAATTAATACTAATAAATCTGATTTATCTGAAATTCCTTTAAGCTTTTTCATATTGATTAATATAGATATGATTAGTGAGGTAGATAAAATAGATTTAGACTTACTATCTATCAATGATAATAACAATCACTTATGGATTGCTTTTGGATGATGGTTGGATTTCAAAAAACCAATCAAGCAAAGAGAGGTGCAATAATATCTTAAACATAAATGGAGAAAACTTAAATATGTTCTAGACCTATGAAATAATATAAATTTTTTAACCACGTATATTGATTGAAAAAGAAAAATACAATTAATTATATTAGCATATAATGATTTATAATCACTAGAAAGACTTGTGCAATTTCAATATATAGTAAAACTGAAGTATATTATTGATAGCAAAAATAGAATCTTATTGTATCTCGAATAGTTAAATAATCTATTTACAATTATAGAAGCTATAAATGTTATTAATCACTACTATCTTTATATGCTAAATAATTTATTGTATCATAGTAATGAATTTTGAACAAACTTTTTTGAACACTTTAAAGTATATACAAGAAATAATCTTCTTCCTTTCACCAGCTCAAACATTGCAAGCTTCTATAATGCCAACTATCATAAATATATTAATTATTTTCTTTATGCTTTAAAGCAATTATCAGATTGCATTAATAATTTTATTCAATATAATTATATAGATTATATAAGAAACTATCAAAATTAAAATGAAGGACCTTTGGATCTTAACTATTTAACATTTTTTCTATGATCACAATCAATTTAATATAATTAGTAATTATTATTGGAATGAGAATAATAGATCAAATTCATTATGTTGCTTAATTGTATTGGATAATTTTAAAGGTAATAAGCTATATTTTTTCTAGCTTTAAATTATTATATCACTTTATTCAAGATATGTTATTGCTTTTTTCTCATGTCTTTTGTTGCATGGTAATTTTTCTGTGACAAAAGAAATCCAGCATAGTATTGTTTACTTTGTTTATAATACTTTTTTTCATTACTATAGAAATTTCTTATATATTTACAATAATTTTGAGGCTGAAATGAAAAGAGATGAATCGATTGTTTTTACAATCCCTCGTCAGAATTTTAATAATGCTTAAGATCTAAATAATGGAATTAGATTTGATAAACCAAGAGCTAATCAGATACAAATTCCATCAGTATTATCCAATTGTAGATGAAACCATATTAATAAGTAATTTATATAATATTAATATATAAATTAAAATCAGATTTTAATACTTTATACTAGCTTTGCTAATTAAGTATTTTCTTTAGATTTGTCATATACCCAACATGGTTTAAAGGCTGAGGATTAGCTTCTTGATGAGTCATAGTGAAAATAATTAGATAGATTTGCAAAAAATATATATAGTTTTTATTATTTTCTTTGACAGTATATATTAGCTTATATCAAAATTTAATAATTCTAGATTGTATATTCCATGCAATAAAGATTTTGGTACTGTTGATGAAAATTTTTGAAATTTTATTAACTTTAGTCATATTCTATTATATATTATTATAATTTATTATAATTTATTATTTTTATTTATATTTTTATATTAGCAAAGTAATATTTCTCTTAAGAATTCTCAAAACACCTATAGTATTTCAAACGGCACAGCTAATTCAGAGCATCGTATCTAAAAATTCAAAATATAAAGCTTCATTTTAGTTCTAAGTAACTATTTGTGAAAAGACTAGAGGAACATTTTTTATTAAGAGCTTAAAAACGATTAATATAGTATAATTTTGAGTAATTTTAATTCTTGTCTTATGGATAAGAATTTTCTTTGCAGATTATTCAAATGTAACAAAAATAATTCTTTAGCCATTCTTTGTGTAAAATAAATGAACCACACATAAATATTTATAGTAGAGCAATCAACAATTGATCAAAACATTATAAAAAAGCTGCATTTTCCCTCAGCCTTGAAGGAGAACAACTTGGATCATAATATAGAAACATTGAATTCTTATATTATTTTATAATACTTTTATAATTTTCTCTAATAAAATTATTATTTTATTACTTTTGTATTCTAATATTTTTATTTTTATTTTTTTTTGAAATTCATTTTTATATATTGTTATCTTTTGATTCCAATATCAAAGCAGAGTTGTAAAATCTGACTGAAACAATAATATTTAATTATTTATATTGATAGTGTTTGAAATATAATATATGTTAAATAAATTAAATCATTATAGATTAAAAGTTATTTTTATTAATGATTTTGAAGTCTGTTAAATAAGAAATTAAAAGTTTTAATATATTAAATAAAAATTATTTTATTTTATTTTATAAAATATTCTATTACTGTAAGTTTAAATTAGCACAATTTTTATTTTGCTTTTTTAAGATAGTAACAATATATAGATTATTTTTTTATAATAATTATATTAAAATCTTTTATTAAATATATGTTTTTTATTTTGAATTATAATAATTATATTATTTTTAATATTTTAATTTGATAACAAATTAAGATATAATAAACAATAATTTTTTTTTTATTATTAATATAACATTATAAATATATTATACTTGTTATTTTTATTAAAAAACCATTAATATCTAGTTATTATTGAAAATAAAAAAATAAATTTAATATATTAACTATAGTACTGGCTATACATGTGATAGAAATAAGTAGATCCTTGATGCAATTGATGCAATTATTTGACACAATTAATTGTGTCACTATTAAAATATATAAAATAATTGAGTCAAACACAATTATTTTTGAGGATTTAGCAATTGAGTCAACAGCAAAATAATTTATATCACATGATAATACTGGTCATAATTAATTATACACCTTTTAAAAATTCAAATCTAATTCAATTGTTTTAAAAATATTAGAACATATAATTTATCACAATTCCTAATCCTCTGTTTTTTTTTTTAGATTTTAATAATTGCTAAAACAAAATTTAGATATAAAGTAAATTTTAGAAATTTTTTTATAATAAATTTTTTTAATTTGAAAATTATTCATAAATCAATAATTTATATAATTAAAAATTTCTAAAAAATTATATGTTAAAATTTAGGTCCTTTTATATTATTGACAAAAAATTTGACATATTTTGATAAGACAGTTGTCAAAAAATTAATTTTTAAATTTTAAGTTTAATTAATTCAAAAAATGACTTTTTAAAATACAGTTTTTATCAATTTTATTATATAATTTATTATAAAAAATATTAAAAATTAATAAATTATATAGTAAAATTAATAAAAATTATATTTTGAAAAGTTTTTTTTTTTTAATTAAGTAAATTTAAAATTTAAAAATTAATTTTTTTGACAATTGTCTTATCAAAATATGTTAAATTTTTTGTTAATAATATAAAAGGATCTGGATTTTAATATATATTTTAATATATAATTTTTTAAGAATTTTAATTATATAAATTATTGATTTATAGATTAGTTTTAATAATTTCTAAAAAACATAATTCTTATCTAAATTTGTTTTAGAAATTATAAAATCTGAAAAATATTAAAGAATTAAAAATTGTAATAAATTATTTATTCTAATATTTTTAAAATAATAAATTAAATTTGAATTTTTTTTTAAAAAAATAACTTACTTATAACCAATACTATATTTATATTTATTAAAAGAATTGAAGAAAAATCTATATAAATAATATAATTAAATTTAGGAATATTATTATATAAATGTTGTCAAATAGAATATCTAATACAACTTTTATATATAGATAAATTATTGTTAAAATCAATATTATAATATTTTTTTTTGATATAATTACTTTTTTATATATTGTAATATTTCTTATAAATTTTAACAATATTGTTATATTATATAAAAATCAAAAGATTAAAAAAAAATTAAAATTTTTATTAATAATTTTATTGTAAAACATTAATTTAAAAATAATATTTAAAACAATTAGAATAACTTTTTACTAATAAAATCAAAATCAAAAACTATAATTTTTATTATAATAAATTTTTTTTGGCTGTATATAAAAATCTAATTCATGTTTTTTTTTTTTTTTATTAGAACTGTAATAATAAATAGATTTTAATATTATATAATTTAATTGTATTTTGTAAAATTATATATAAATAAATAATTTTTTTTATATAGTTTGATGGTTCATTTATATTTTGTAAAAATTAGCTTTAAGTCTAGCTGTGAATTTTATTTAAAAGAATAATTATGAACACAATCTGAAAATTCTATATAATATTTAGAAAATTAATCATACAATTGTTCAAGTTAAAAGACGAATGTCCCTAATAAGTCTTAAATACGCACATTATTTTATACAGGAATTAATGAAATTCATAATAATTAATCAGCTATTGCTTTTCCCTTGCCCTTGTTAACCGAATTATAATTATCAACGTCTACATTGGAATGGATACTACCATCATTCATATGATTGGTATAACTACTGCTTTGTCCATTATAACCATGCGAATAATTTGATGACAACGGAGACTCCATAGTAGTGATTCTTTTCTCTATTTTTTTCCCCTCTATCTGTTGAGTAAATCCCATTTGTACCATACGATAATGTTCTAATTCTTTTTCTG